TTTTTTTTTTTTTAAATTTTTTATTTATTTCCCCCCCCAAAGCCCCAGTAGATAGTTGTATGTCATAGTTGCACATCCTTCTAGTTGCTGCATGTGGGACGTGGCCTCAGCGTGGCCAGGGAAGCGGTGTGTCGGTGCGCGCCCGGGATCCGAACCCGGGCCGCCAGCAGCAGAGCACACGCACATAACCGCTAAGCCACAGGGCCGGCCCCCCACTTCAACTCTTAACAGGGGTTTCTGGAACCCTGACAGTGAATTCTGAAATGGAAAAAAAGGTAGGGAATCGAGTGGTGGGTAGGAGGAGTGAGCCTCAGGATGAAATCCCTCGCGGTGACCCACCCTCACCTCACCTTCCTGAGGTTTTACCTGTGGATCACAGGGGCTTCATTTCTTTAAGCTCTGTCATTACCAGGAGCAATAGGATCAGTATAGCCTGTGATTTTCATAAATTATTTCCATGATAACATAGACTGCAAGTTTTTCATAAATAATTGGCTGCCTTTGAAAACTGACACACCGTAGGTAGAGAGAGGTACTTCCTGGTGCTCTGAGCATCTGCCAGACGAGACTTAACATTGTTCAAGTTTGAAACGTTCCAAATAGTGAACCCTATTTTTATAGAATGGATTAGACTCAAATCATATTTTTTTCCCAGAAAACTCGCAATTTTCCCCCAAGAAAGAAAATCATAAATGCTCGTGCCTCCTCCAGGGAACATGATCTCTCTCTGTACTACCTCCCTGCCCTGGGTAGCCAATCGCTTAATATTTACTTGCATTTCAATTCCTCCTTTGTCTTCTTGCCAGCTCTCTATTTCGTCTTTCTCTTTCCTTAGTTTTGACTTGATGTTTGTGAAAACAGGTGGAATCTAAACCTCAAGATCAGTGTGGATTTCCTTGTCTTCAAATGCTCTCACCCCACCGTCAGCCAACCACTAAAAAGGATCTCGTAAAGTTTCCAAGACTGATAATCTTGACTTTTTTTTCCCTCTGTATTTTGGACCTTCACCTTTTTGGCTTCTGCAGGTTTTTGAAGGTCTTGTGGTAACTAGAAAGTAGCTAACTACTTTCTGTTCATGACCAATTTGCACTAGATTAAAGACGAGGCTCTTTCTGATGAAGATGAACGTTTTTCTCATGAAAAGGACAACGGTGAAGAAGAGGACGTGGGTGAGTACAGAACCCACAAACAAGGGAAAAAGGCAAAGCAGACTCAGATTTGATGGATTTTTCAAAAAAAATATGAGTAATGAGTTTATTGAACAATCTGAACTCTGAGAAGATTAGTCATAAAACATCGTGTCTCCGATCACCTGACTTCAAACTACTGTGTCAATTCTCCCTTCTGCCCTTTAATGGCATCTTGGGCACCTTCCACAGCTTTCTGATCAGGTTTAGATATCACAAGTGTGGCTTTCATGGCAATTACCAGGCATTAGAGAAAGCTCCCTCTAATAAAATGGAGGGTGGTGGTACTAATAATGGAGAGTAATGATGCTGCTGTTTCCTTAGGTCTTATTTGAGCTGAACAGCTCAAGTTTCTGTTTTCACCTTTTTTCTGAAGTGTCAGAAAGTCAGGTGTACTGAACACCTTCCCTCCCCCAGCCCTGCCTCCTCGTCCCGGGAGTCCCCAAGCATCACTCCCTCTGGGGCATCACAGTTCTTCCTGAACCTTTAATGTGACAACAACTTGATCTGACAGTGCGCAGAGAAGCCAGAAGTTAGAAAGGCTGTTGCTGGGAAGGTGCTTTTTTTTTTGGAAGGTGCTCTTGATGGTGGCTGAGGCAACAGGGGAAACCAGGATGAAGTTCAGGAACCGAGCTGGAAAGAGAAGGAAGATTTTTATTACTGCGTGAAGCAGGAAGCTGTTTAGTGGCGTGTGGATAATGAGGACCGTTAGAGGTGGATTCTAACGAGGAAAGGCTCAGTTCAGGAGAGCAAGGAAACTTCAAGTGTGAAAAGAAGGCAGTGATTTGGCTTCTGCAGGAAGCAATTTTTGCCTCCTTTTTGGGTTCTCTCTTTCTTCCCTCCCCATTATTTCCTCTCAAATCAAGTCTCTCCACACAGAAAACAACGCAAAGCCTGCCTTGCCCTTAGCCTTCCTCTCCTCCACGGCCGAGCTTCCTGAACTTCGTCCACACTCGTGGGGCCACCCCTCACCTTCTGCTCCTGCCCCCACCTGCTGTGTCTGGCCTCTGTGCCTGCTCCTCCCTGAACGGGTGCTCACGGGGGCACCAGAGACCTTCTTGGTGCCAAACCCACCAGGCAGGTTCCAATCATATCCTGTGGCATCCTTCTGTGGACCTGGATGATGTTCATGTCTTCCTTCTCAAAACCCTCTTCTCTTCGGCTTCCGGAGATGTCACAACCTTTCTCGTTTTCCTTCTACGTCTCTGGCCTCTCCTCAGCCTCCTCTTCATCGCCTTCTTTTCTTCTGCTCCCCTTTCAAGCCGGAGTTCTCCCGGCCCCTGCTCTGGCCTCTTCTCTTCTCCCTCTACACCTCTAGGTGATCTCATTAACTGGTCAATTTGTAACGGAATCTACCGTAAGAGTCCCTTAAAGTCTATGTGTACCTAGGACGTTAGAAATAGTACTCACAGAAAAACGAACAGATTTGTTGCTGAAAATGATTCACACCTTTGCAGTACACGTTTTTGAGATTTTTGGAGTAAGAAGCCCTCCTTAAATGCAGACATTGTCGTGTTTCATTGCAACACAACAGATGTAAAAGCTGAGAGCAGGAAATAGGCTATGGGGAATACAGGGTCTGTGCAGAGCGTAGGTAGCTCCCCAAGGCCAAGTTCGTACGAACAGGACTACAACAGGCATGGGCTCCCGGACTGGTCACAGGGCTTCCTGCAGCGTCTGCGGGCCTGAGCAGTGGGCTACGATCACGTGGTGCCTCCCTCATCGCCACTGCTGATTGGACCTGTGGACACTGGCCAATGAGCGGACTGGGCAGTGAGCTGTGACTGGTGCCTTGGCTCCAAACAATGAGCTGGCCAGGCCGGTCTTCTCTCAGGAAAGTCTGGACTGAGACAGGGAAGATGGAAGCTGCACTTTGGTGTACATGTTGGCACTGAAAAGTCACGGAGACTCAGGGCCTGGGGCAGCCATTCGTGGCCACGTGCCAGGAAAGTTAAAAAGAAGCATTGGTGAAGGAGCCAGTACCGTGAGAGATCACAGTAGACTGTGGGGAGAGGCCAAGAATCACAAGAGGGTGACAGGAAGGGACAGGAGTGGCCAGGCCTGCACTGCCTCTGCTCCAGCTCTCCCCCATCCAGGTGACTCTTTCAGCTGCCTCTGGGTTTCTGCTCCTGAGTAGTCTTTGATCTCCTCCTCCATCTCTCTTCTCCTCCCACTCCTTCCCTCCACTCCCTCCCTCCCAGGTTTGTGTCCCTTGCATGTCTCTGTCCTTTGCAGCCAGGTTGAGGTGGAGGTCTGCAGCCAGACCCAGGCATCCACTAGAGTCCAGGTCTGCAGGGGCACAGCTAGGAGGCCAGGAGAGGGAACCCCGGAGGGGAGCCGTGTGCAGAGGCTGTATGGTCCCTGCAGGGGGCTCCTGAGAGCCTCAAGATGTCTGACAGCACCACCCTCACTGATTGCAGTTTCAGCAGAGAAGACCTGCACCTTGGCAATCATTAAACCGGATGCAGTGGTCCACGGAAAGACTGATGAGATTATTATGAAGGTAAGAGAGACAACACTTACCCTTCAGACTGTCCTCATGTCTTCCCTGGTGGAAAGACAGGCGTGGGGCATCATGCAGCAGTGTCCTAGTGGGAAAAGAAGGCTTCTAAGGATTTGTAACCAAAATTCCATGTAAGTAAATTAAAAAATTTAAATCTAATTGGGAAGGATGCCGTGAAGATGAGGGTCTCCACAGCTCTTAATGTTGCCTTTTCCTTTATCTTTTATTTTTCAACTAAGTTAAATGTGAATTTGGGCTTGGTTTACCCTTTCAGAATATGCATATATATGTATCCTACAGATCCAGGAGGCCGGCTTTGACATTTTAACAAACGAAGAGAGAACTGTGACAGAGGCAGAAATGCGCCTTTTCTACCAACACAGAGCTGGAGAGGTCAGCTCGTTTGCTTCCATATGTCCAACACACTCTCATTTCTTTCTCTCTTTCCAACAACCTGTTTATAGATTGACATTAGTTTGGGAGAAAATAGAATATTATGAAGAACAAGAAAATGAACAGGAAGTGGGTCATGAGTTTGCTTTCAGAAAAATGATTATGGGCTGTAGCAGGTAAAAGCTCTTTGGTTGCAAGGAAGAGATTTTGACTCTAACTTAAGTAATGAAATAAGGAATTTATTGGAAGGATACTCCATAACTTCCAGAATTGAAGAAAGAGAGTTGAAGGAGTTGAACAAGAAGGTCTTGGGAGAAGAGGAACGGAGGCAGGTGTAGGGATCTCAGGAGCAAAACCTCGAGGACAGCCACTTTAGGTGCTGCTGTTGGATAAGTCGGATGCAACCACTCGCCATTTGCTTTTGCTTGTGACCCACCTACTTGGGAGGGAGGGTCTGGTTGACCGAGCTTGGGTCAGAGCCCTACCTCTCAGGTGAGGGGTGTGAGTGTCGAGGTTGGGGGGTGATAGGCATCATTGTCAGGCTAGGATCAAGTGAAATGGGGAAGGGCTGCTCCCCAAAGGGAAACCAGAGTGCTGCTATGTGAAGCAGGGGGAAGGGTTGCCAGGCCCTGCAAAAATGAAGTCTCAGCTGCATCCCACCCTGTGGTTATCCAGCATCCACATGACTTCCATACATGGAAGTATGCCCCACCTAACTTATTATAATCTCACATTCAACCCCAAATGGATCACCTCAAAGTCTCATCTTCCCGCCTTTGACTTATATCTGGGTTCTCCGGGTGTGGTTGGGCACCCGCTCCCCCGGGGCCCTCCATGGCATCCCCGAGACCTCCACGGGCATGCTGGCTGGTGGCAAGGCTGCTCACTGACCCCCTCCCATCCTGTGTGGGGATGGGTCCGCTGACCCTCTGCAGGCCCCATGGCCCCTGCCCTGGGTCACTTGTTTCCCTCCCTGTGCTAGGAGGCATTTGAGAAGCTGGTACATCACATGTGCAGTGGACCAAGCCACCTCCTGATCCTCTCCAGGACTGAGGGTGCTGAGGACGTGGTCACTGCCTGGCGAACCCTCATAGGGCCCTGTGACCCTGACGTGGCAAGGAAGGAGCAGCCTGACAGGTGACGTCACCAGCTGTGGGCCTTTCATCCACTTCAAAACCTGCATCCAAAGAAGCTGAGAGCCCTGCTCGATGTTCAGCCCAGAATCATGGGTAACACAGAAGGCTCTCTGACAGCCATGAAGCCCCTCTGTGTTATATATTTGGGGAGACCCTGACCTCTTTGTTATTTATGTGAGGAGCAAGACACAGTGGGTTTGGCATTGGCGGGGCCAGGCTAAATATGCACAGGGCCAAGGCGCAGCCCAGGGCAGCCTAGTGTGGCGTGCAGGACAGGGTGCTCAGACCTCACCCTCTGATCCAGTCCCCAGCCATTTGCTGAGTGCCGCCTGTGATCTGCCTCCTTGCTGCCTCCTCCCCTTCTCTGCCCTCTTCTGAAGGCTGCTGCTGGATCCAGGCCTCACTGTTCTTCTCTCTGCAGCCAGAGGGTACCACAGTGTGGTCCCAGAACCACCTGCACCATGCATCCAGGAAATACAGATTCCAGAGCCCCACCCAGGCCTGCCAAGTCAGAGACTCTGGGAAGGGCACAGGAATCTGCATTGTAGACTTGACCCCCCTCCACTCCTACTCCCCACCCAGGGTGTCCTGAGGCCTGCTAGGGTCTGAGCACCCTGTTCTGCACACCACACTAGGCTGCCCTGGTCTGCTCCTTGGCCCTGTGCATATTTAGCCTGGCCCCGCCAATGCCAAACCCACTGTGTCTTGCCTTTGAAGCTGGCAGAGGCCCAGCCAACAGGAAAGAAATTCACAAGAGACTAAGTCACTGCAGTTGCACCTGTAGTTGTAGGGGTCCGGGAACATGCATACATGAGGCCGCCTGGGCCAGTGAAAGGCAGCTCAGGGTTCAGATCTCAGGTCAGCGCATACTGAGGCGAGTCCCTTCTCTGAGCCTCCGTTCTCGTCTGTCAAGTGGGGATACGAGCACCTGTCATGGGAGGCCGTGAGTGCCGTGGCTAAGAGCACAGACTTCAGAATCTCTTTTCTTCCTCTCACTAACTGCGTGGCTTTGGGCCATGCTTTAATCCCTCTGTGTCTCCACATCCTCATCTGAAAAATGGCTACTATAATAGGGCCTGCCTCCGACGTTGATGCGAGGGTCACATAAGTATATATACATGAAGCACTTAGAACAGTGCTTGTCACACTAGCACTGAAGTCCTAGCAACTTTAGTATTATCTCCTGGGGTTCCTGGGGGATTACTGCACAAACCTGTGTCGAGCCGTTCCCCAGGCAGTGATATCACCCAACGGCAGCCCCTGCGTGTCCACCGTGCCTCCTGCATAGTTAAACTGGGGTCATGACAGAGCCTCCCTCACAGGGCTGTGGCGCAAATGAAGCACCCGGAAACGTGCCCAGAACACTGCCCTGACAGACTGGATGTCAGCTACGGTTCTCCTTGCTGTGGTTCTTGGCATTTTCAACAGACAGAGAGCCAGCTCACAGAAAGGCAGGGGGCTGAACGGTAGCTGGTGACCAGGTTGCCAGAGAGCAAAACGTTTCTTTTCAAATGAAACAACTGTTTCTTGTACATTTTGCCAATGTTCCCAGTCTCCGCGCTCAGTATGGCACAGAAATGCCCTTCAATGCGGTCCACGGAAGCCGGGACGGAGACGACGCCAGCCGAGAGCTGGCATTGCTCTTCCCCAGTTTTAAGTTTTCACACGAAGTTCCGGAAGCCCCTCCGGGTAAGTCACCCAGGCAGACTTGGTCTTTATTAAATCTGCAGTGAGCATGTGGGGGGCGGATGATAACTGTGGTGACCAAGTCTTCAGTCTAACAAGGTCCTGTGGGGAACACAGGGGCTATTACATAACTTCAGTTGCAGTCCCGATCTGTTTCCATAGAGTAACAGTGTTGCTTTTAATATCTCATTACATTTTTTGCTCCATTCTTACTTTGGAGCCATATTTTTGTTGCAAAGTTACTTTGCATTTTTCTGTGGAAACCTCTGGGAAATTTAACTAACTTTCTGTAAGCCTACCTCAAAGCCAGCTGGAGGCCAGATGTCACCCCTCACTTCCTCTGTGCTCTGCACGGCCCACGCTAAGCCCTTGGTGAGGTGACTGAGAAGCAGAGGGACACAGAAGGGCCCTCTGCCTGGAGGCTGACTCTCGCATCAGCCCCCACAGTTTGGGAAAAGCATGCTGGGTCATCACCTCCACACCGGGGTGAGAAACCCAAGGGGTCCAGAGTGCACTGACTCACCCCGTTCCACAAGCGGAAGAACTCGGCCTGGCCCGGCTGCTCCTGTCGCCAAGCTGCTGTCTCTGGTTTGAGCCTGAGGTGAGGTGGAGAGGCCAGGGGCTGAATATCCTGGGAAGAGCAAAGGACGTGAGGGTGGGATTCTTGGGAGAAGGCTACGTGCAGATCTGAAATGGTCATAACCTATGTGTGCCTAAATGTTTAGTTTTCAACCAATGTATTCACCTAAATGTTGATACATTCAGGGTCTCCTCAAGATCTGAATGCCGCCAAGTAAGAACAGGTGGTCCGAGGGCGAGGGAAGGGAGGACGGGAGCTGGCCCGTGCTGGCCCTCGTCTAATCCTCGCCGCTGCCCACTGCCAGCTGAGACAAGCTGAGAGCGCAATGAAGTTGAGGGAGTTGAGAACATCAGGGAAGTGTGGCTCTATGTGGATCCAAGGGACCCAAGTTTACGCATCCGAGTGCGTGTTGTGGTTCTTCAAAGCCATCCCCCTGCCGGGAGGAACTCTCACTCTGGTGATGGCGGCACTGCGAGGGCAGCTTTCCTCTGGGGACCTGCCCCCAGAGAGAGCCCACGATGCGTGTCCTTATGTGTCCAGGGCCATGGGACATCTTCATCCTTTTGGGGGTGATTGGAAACAAGGAGGTATGGCTCAGGGCCACGTCTGGGGAAGACAGTGAAGCGGCTGAGGAATCCTCCTTGGGTACTGGGGACAGTGTTGGGAGAGCTGAGCCTGACTTTTTGGCCTCAGGTGATAATGGGCTAAGGAGACAATTCCAGAAGGGTCTGAGTCCAGACCACATCCCGGGAATAAGTGCACAGCCTCCTGCAGGCATGACCTTGAAGCAGCCTCGTTGGGGTGCTGATGTTCTGACCATTTGTTTGATGTGTCGTGTCTTCTCAGTTGTCAGGAGCAGAGCGTGCTTTCAATGTACCCAGCACTTTTTCTGCTAAGGGGCAGGGGTCAGGGCACTGGAGACAGACAATCCTGGCTCAACTCTTTACCAGCCCAGTAGCCTTGGGAAAGTTAAAGTTACTCACCCTTTTTAGGCCTCAGTTTCCTCATCTGTGAAGTGGACATAAGGATAGACCCATGATAGCCCATAATCATCATCTTCCTCATAGGGCTGTTGTGAAGATGAGAGGAGACAAAGGAGGTGTTCCCAGCCTGGTGCCTGACACTTATTAAGTGCTCCATGAATGTCACCCTTTTCTCATTCTTTAATTCCTGGTCCCTCACACACATATTAGGACCTCTCTTTGCTGTCCCTTCCACCCTGACCCTTCACTTCATCATCTGTGAGGCAATTAGATCCCCTTTTCCTGTTTCTTTGTGGATTTTGCATGCGACAGACGACTGGGACAGGGCCGGGTCTCAGCAGTCCTCCAGAACATCTGTCGTCCCACAGGCCACGAGGCTGAAGGAGCGGTGGGCCCTGCTGAGGCGTGCTGCTGCCCTGAGGACGTGGACTGATTGACCAGGCGGGCTGCTCTGCCGGGGCCGGGACTGAGGTGAGGCTACGAGACGGAATGTCAGTGCACTCGTGTCTGCCGAATGTCAGTGCACTCGTGTCTGCCGCACAGGAGGAAACCTCCAGAACCGGAACTTACTCTTTAAGCACCGATACTTTTTTGGCTTAGCTATCTTTCATGAACAATAATAATAACAGTATGTACTTTCCTGCCTTATTAAACAGTATACAGAACATATCCTTTTTTTCTGCTATCTCTGGGATTTTACAAAATAAATAGACATCAGTTATCGCCCTCCGCTGTGATATGGTGCCATCCCAGGGGATACTGAGTTATACAGGACAGTGTTTCCCCAATAATAAATCTACTTAAGGGATTAAACAATCTTAGAGCTGAACTTGGTAACTATGAACTTGAAAAGAGTGCAACAAGACTGGACATGACACTTCCAGGCATATCGACGTGGAGGCAGACATAAGCCGGCTTTATGTCTTCACGCTGCCGACCCCAGCCAGGGGGACAGTCCTGTAACGCTGCCAGCCTTGCCATCTGTTGTTTTCCAAGGATCAGGACACGTTCAAAAAGCAATACTTGGGGTTTCATGTGGACCCAGGGTTCATCTGATTTTCTTGATGCTCCCTTTCCCTGTTTCTTTGGTTTCTGATTCTGGCTAAAGCCTAATTTTAAAACCTGAGAGCTCCTAGGAGCCAAGTTGCCTCCAGCTTTCACTCAATTGCCTGGTTTAGTCGTCCCTCCATCGTTGTGCCCTTGAGAGATACAGGAGGTTTTCAGTAAAAAGTAACTTATTACCCCTATGGATATTAACATGCACAGCCACCCTCTCTTACCAGTTTGCTCTTCACTTTATTTGTAAATTCACTAAGCCCAGGCATACTCTTTCCTGAGGAAAAGGCTGTGTTCTTCTACATCATGAGGCAAGTGTCAGCCATTTCCTTCTTATTTGCTGGTTTTCTCCAGAGGACTTCGCTCCTATGACTTGAAGAAGTTCTTTACAGGGGCAGTTAGCTCCCGGAAGACTGCTCTTGCGGGGCGTGTTCCTCTTTCTGCGAGCCTATAGCATAAGGCACTCTGTGCTGGCCCTGGGGATAGAAGGATGAGTCAGGCTGTGTGAAGGCGGGGACCAAGGCCTGTGACACCGGGTGGGTGCCTGTGTTTCCCATGACTTTGTGGCATCTCTGGATGGAAACACACAGCCCATTGCGCTCGTCAGCATGTGTATAGGCCCCCGTGAGCAACAATGTGCTCAACGGAGCCCTCCCTGACAGGATCTGTCAGAAGTTGAATCCACCGTGGGGCTGTGCTCTTCCCTTTGTGAGTGGGCTCAAGAGCAGGACTCAATTGGTCTGTGCCCACCTCAGCACTGGCAGATGCCTCAGAGGAGCACTAGGGCCCTACGCCTGGTCTTCCATACCACAGGTGCTGTGTGGCTCTGAATGAGCTACTTGGGGGTGCACCCAGCTGACAGATCTCCCCAGAAGCTGGGAAGCCAAGGATCTTCCATCACTGGAGAGATGACAGATGAGTAATGGAGTGACAAGGGCCTCTGAAAGCAGGGGAGAGAGGTGGGGAGTAGGTGAGGGAACTGGGCCTGTGGGGCGAGATGTGTGTTGGTGTCTGTGACGATCTTTAAGTCTTCCCAGGAAGTAGCCAGGAGTGGCAGGGCTGGGAGGTGGGAAGCAGGAGGGGCACTGGGTGACAGGGCTAGAGTGGGAGGGGTGGTGACACAGCCCCTTCTTCCAGTACATGGTAGGGTATTTCTTGTCTCAGAGTCCAGAGGTTCATGACAGAAGGAATGGAGGGGGGTGGGGTGCTGGAAAGAAGGCTCCTGAGAGTGGCTAAAATGTCAGTCTATTCTTTGAGGATAGAACTCCTTGGCAGAGACCCTGGACCTGGCTTCCTACAACAGAAGAAAACCCGGGACTGCAGGATGGGTGCCATTTTGGGCGTTGAAGCCTCTCAGCTCCTGGGTGTGAGTGCCTGACAGCGTGGAGGGCAGGCCAGCCCCATGGAGTGAAGGAGGCTGGCTCCTTCCTAAGGACTGGCTCTGGCCCTCCTCTCAGCAGAGGGCTGACTGCCTGGCAGAGCCAAGGCCAGGAGCCTGGGGCTGCAGAGCTAGAGGGTGGAAAGGCAGCTCAGTAGGTCACGATGTGGCCCTTGAGGGGGCTTCCCTCAGCTTTCTCAGAAGCCAGGTCATGGACCAAAACTTCCCTCACGCTGGGAACTGACACGTGCTTCTCTGCCCAGCAATGAGGAAAAGTCAGTGCAAAGGGGCAAGACTGGGGCAGGCGTTGGTGTTGGGACCTCTCTCTGGCGGCTCTCCATCAGGATCTGGGGTCACTCCCCCTTTCCTCTCCTCCTTTCTCAGGCCTCACTTCCAAGTTTCCCCTATGGCAGCGGAATTCCCTCCCCTGCCAACCACCCCACCATCCTCCCCCCATGCTCTGGGGCAGGTGTCCTTGGCTTCCTCTCTGTTTCTACATTTTCGAGATGGGGAAGGGAAGGCCACACACAGTAAGTAGGAGAAGAGCACCCGTGCATCCTTGCCGAGGGAGGGCAGCTGCTTGTGTGCTGTGAGGCGGGGCTTTAGGCAGTCCTCTCCTCTTCCCCTTACGAAGCCACACCTCCTCTGGGAGCTAACTGGATGGAGGGGGTGGACACAACTCTGGGCGGGGGGTCCTGTGGTTGGGAGTGGCCACTTGTAAGGGGTCTACTAGCCTTCAGGAGGCCAGGAAGAAAGGGGTCCCCATACTGCTGCAGATGCTCCTGGAAGCCGGAGTAAGCCTAGGGCACTTGCCCCCACCTGAAATGCAGAATTGCTTCCCGGTTTCTCATTTACCAAGAATCACAGGTTCCAAAAGGCAGTATACGTTACCTTCTAATGTTTCCTAATGTTCTAGACATTTGGAAAACAGACTCCTTTTTAGAAGTTGCCATGATTTTTCTTGGCTTTTATTAGCACGTGTTAAAATCTTGTTATCCAAACACTACCAGAAGAACATGTATTGTTCTGCATAAAGTGCTTAAGGAAAAA